CTCCTGTCAAGGTTCGTGGAACAGAATTTTATTTTTCTAATGCACGCAATATGGAGTAGAGTACAGTAATTCTTAAAGTGATTCTAAAGTTCTTTCCAATTGCCATGTTTGATAATTTTGGTTACAACTGATCTCATGTGTACAGTAATGATAAAAAAAACTGTTCAATCACATTAATAAATTTTATACCGAAAACAAAGAATCTCGATTTCAGTGAAATAACAAAAGTACTGCTGTTTCTATCTCTGATGCTGGTTCAGACTCACGATTTCACATGAGAAACTTCATTTCAGAATTGTTGATATCATAATTTTGTTTATCTTTGAAGGATCTCAAACTAGATCTTGAGGGGGTTCAATGTACAGTAAAATCGGAATAATATTCTAGTTAGCCCACGATTGGTATTTTAGCCTTCTTTGTCTCATTTTTAATTTTTTCCAAAATTATGGGATTAGGAAGAGCTTAGATAGGAAAAACAAAACAATTCAAACATGACCAACACAAAGAAAAATCACGAGAGCAATATGGAAAAATCCCCGCTCGTATCATAAACGAAATACGAATACTTGACTGTATAAGTCACAACAAAATGATACAGAAATTAGAAGTCAGGAAAATACATGTCACGAGCTTTAATTGTAAAATGGCCTTGTTTTCCCCTTTCTGGATTAAAATTAAACGCGGAAATTCATTATAAAATTAATTTTTAACATCAAAAATTGAAATCCATATAGGGCATTAACGAACAATGTTTTTATTTAGTGCAGAAACTCGGAGACAGTTGTGTGATTGGCGACACATGTGGCTCGACTTTGACAAGTACCTGCGCTGATGGAATTTGCGCATGCCAAAAATCAGGCTTTACTCAAAACACATGTTCCAGTACGCTTGAAGTTTGCGTACAAAGTACGTATGAACAAAATTATTGCATCCCATCCGGTGCGATTTAAAGATGATGTATCAATATTTCAGAAAAAAAACTGACTGCGAGACTTTATTTGCTTGAACGTCGACATAAAAACCTATGACGCAATTTTCCGAGGCATGTTTCAATGCGTGGAATGAAGCAGTTTAAAAATTTCGCG